GGTCACGCCGCAATCCCTTCTCCTCCATTCTCCTCTCGGGATCTTGGGCACACACGCACATGCGCCCGGCGTGAGTTTTAAGCCACTGGGTCTGGGACACAAACCGCGGTCGACCACGTGGGAGTTCAGCAACATAGCCATCACGCTAACTGCTGGTTCCCAGTAATTATTTCTTTTAAAACAAAAATGAGGTTGAACATTTTATTAGGAATTTACTGAATATTAGATGTTCCAACTGTTTACTTCTAAATTAAAACTATTACTGTACTACACCAGCAAAAATATTAACTAGTCTAATATTATAAAAAATGTTCTTAAAAGTAATAAAGTCAATTAGTACAGAAAGTCGCATTATAATACATGTTTTCTACTTTAACTTGTAAATTAAACATTTTATAAAAGGTAACTTTGTTAATGTAGTTTACCTCTAAAATACTTATTTTTCTACTAATCTTTATTCTTATGCACTTCATGGAATTTTTATATTTTTAGGTTTTTACCATAGAGCATGTACAGTTGCCAGCCCTCTCCCCCCCAGCCTCCCCACTCCCAGCGAGGATGGCCATGACACAATCCCTTCTCCTCCATTCTCCTCTTGGGATTTTGGTTATACATGCCTGGCATGAGTTTTAAGCCTCTAAGTCCAAGACCTGAATTGTGGTGGACCATGTTGGAGTCCAGTGCCTTAACCACCACGCCACCTATGGCCTAGGAATTTTTTCTTTTACAGGAAACCATGTGTGTTTTTTGGTGAAAGTATCTGTCATAATTTGCTACAGAGATAATGCAAGAGTTCTGAGAATTACTGAAACTATTACAATATGATGTTAAAATGCTGGTTCATAATTAATGTTTCTATAATTGTTATTCCAGAAATGGAAGAAAAAGTCAAATTTACATCTTTAGACCAAAAATCAGGTTCTTCATGCACATTTAAATGTTTATTGATTTTTATTAAGAACAATTTCAGAAATGAAATCATCTGATAAAGCCAAAATAGTACAGAATTATGTGTATAAAATCTGAGGATCATTGTGTTTTCATATTAACTCATGTTTCCCATAAAATCACATTTACACTAAAAAAGTAGACTCTTCACTGTAGTTTGGATGTCCTTCAGGAACTCATGCGTTGGGGTCTGATTATACTATAAAGATGTCACATCAAGGCTTGAGCCCTTCACAGCGTCCCAGGGTGGGGCCTTTTGGTGTGATGGGGTCATTCAAGCTGGACCCCTGAATGAATTCTGGTGGATTTATGGGGGAGAAAAGCAACCAGAATGGGCAGGAAAGTGTGGACCCACTGCCAGGTATTTCTGTGAGCAACAGAACCACAGACTACTTCATTACTTCCCCTTTATGTAGAACACATCTGAAGGCAGAAATGCGTAAGTGCTATTAGCGTGCAAAACCAATGAGCAGCACTCTGAGACAAAGGTCACCCTAAGACAAGGTATTTTTTAAAAGGTTTTAATTCTTTAATACACTCCCAAATAAGAATGGTAAGTCATGTAGTATAATTTCTTTTTCAAAGACTATCTCCTTCCGTTTAAAAAACAAACAAACAAACAAAAAACCCTTCCATTAAAATGTTTCCTCTATTGGAGGGCATAAAAGCAGTGAAAATAGTTATGGAGACTGAAGACAATGTGGAACAGGGAGGGAGAAGGGAAGAGTATGGAGGAGGATAGCAAGAGAACAAAAAAGAGAGGAATGACATTTGAGGGACACAAACATTGTTTATTACCTGCTGATGATAACATGTATAGTATTCTCAACTGAACTGGTCTGAGAAGTATTTCATGTTGGGTAAATTCTCTTTATAAGTCAAATGATATAGTTATTGAACGTTTAAAAAATAATAATGAGAATAAATAATAATAATCTGGAAAAAATTAAAAGCTATTTGATGATGATGATGTGGATAGTAATGTCTTTGTCTTGACTAATATGCATGGTAATCATGCTGGAAAAAGAAATGTTATACATATATGTGATTAAATGTAATATAAAAAAAAGAAAAAAGTTTTCTTAACAATATTACCATTATTAGCTCAAGTGAACAATTATTGAGAAGTAAAAGAATAATCTACAATTACTGATTTCTCCAATATGTTCTTTCAATGGAGTAAAGGAGCATCCATTGTCTGAATGGTTGTATCCCCTCCTGAACTCAAATGTTGAATTCCCAATCCCCAGGTGGTAACAGGAAGGAAGGCCTTAGGGAGATGACTAGGCTTTGTCCTCATGACTGGGATTAGTACCCTTGTAAGAGAAACCCCAGAGAGGGCTCTCTGCCCCTTCCCCAGCGGAGGGCACAGTTAAAAGACATCAGAAAGAGGGCCCTCACCAGTTGGAGTTCTTAGCCTCCAGAACTGTAAGAAATAAACCACTGCTGTCTACCCATTGCCCAGCCTGTGGTGCTCTGTTACAGCGGCAGCCCGAACGACTAAGACAAGAGGCTGCATCTAAGAAGTCATGGAGCACTGCCTAACCTCCTGCGTGAATTCTGAATATACAGTTGTAATCTGTTAAAACCACTATGGGATATTTTGTAAAGGAAAGTGTTTATTACAAAAGGAGACTTGAACAATTTGTAAAAATAAGAAGAGCTAATAAGAACTTCAAAAAGTTTGTGGAAACATGAATTAAAGGACAAGTTTATTTAGAGCAAGAAAACTAAAATCCATGCATAGTTTTTTCATAATATGTATTTTCTATGAACTTTTGAAGACCCTTGTACACAGAAAAAACACAGAAGAAAAAGAAAGCAATTAGGGGTGATGAGAGAAGGCAAGGAGGAGCCTTGGAAGAGAGAAGAAAGTGTGAAGAGAGAGGGAGAGCATACTTGAAATGAGTCCAGTAAATAAAGATGAAGATGGACCGACGAAGAGTAGTAACCCATTCTACAAACAGCCTACTTAAGGCACACAAAGACTCAGCAAAATCTCACTGCAGCTAACCACAGCACCACTGATTTGTAAAAATATCGAATCATAGCTGTTTTAAGGAATGAACTACATAGTAAAGTACAATAATATAAAATGTATGAGTTTATTAATTCAGACCTAATTTTTTTTTTTATTTTAGCTCAGTAAAATGTATTTCCATACCACAGGCCAGCACTTACCCCCCTGAAATCCAGCATCTTTCAATAATAGTAAGGGTCCTCTAATAACATAATCACTTCTTTTTTAGAAGGTTTTGCTATAGAGTGCATGCATTCACCAGGTAGACACAGACAAAGACGGTGAAAGGGCAAGTGAGAAATCATCCCCCTAGGGGGCATGACCACATAACAATCCCTTCTCCATTCTCCTTCTAGGATCTTGGTGACACACGCACAAGCGCCCGGCATAATTTTCAAGTCCTGGGTCCAGGACTTGAACCACAGTCGTCCACATGGGAGTCCAATGTAACCACTATGCCACCTGCTGGTCCCCATAATCACATTTTCAACAGCCTATTTAGGGAAATAAATGGGAACATGTAAAGAAAAAACTTCAGAAGGTTTAAAGAAGTGCTCTTATACATGATTTGCTAACAATGGTGGTAGCAAGGAACTTGTTTCTTCCAAAATATTTGAAACAAACCTTAACACATCCATGGTCATGACAAGGGAAAGTTGCATTTGCAGTCTTAAAGTTGAAGATGATCATTTTCCCTAATATAACTCTCATATTTCATATAAGAAGTCTTATAATCCAAGCTACAGAAAGGTGCTGTGCACTGGGACTTATTTTGTGAACTGCAGTTCCTGACCCCTCATAATCCTACGTGTGGGAAAATCTCAAAATAGTCTCTCTCTTGGGCCTCGTCCATGGTGCACTGTTTGAGAGAAGCTGGATCTCACATGGTGACCATGGGTTGAATCCCCAGAGGGTCAGCCTGAAATTCGTGTGAGTGCCCACAATCTAATTGCATGGAGAACTGGTAGAAGGGATCACAGTGGGGCCAGACCCTATGGAGAGTGCGCCCCTCTCTCTTCCTCTCTCTCTCTCACATGCATATACACATACTCTAGCATAAATGAGAAAAAATTATTAAACTTTAAAAACAAAGCTGTATCTCTGATAATGCACAGTGATACTCAACCTATCATAAATTGGCTGACTAAAAGGATGGTCACCTTGTATATGAGGAAATAATACTCTCCGTGTTACATGGTATAATAACAAGTCATGAAACAATCTACAGGGTGTCAAAGAACGGTCAGAATATACACAGAAAGCTTACTGTCAGCTCCACAAACTTAGAACTAATCCGGGAAAATCAAGCAAATACACAGCATCCGAATGTAAAAGCCGAATAACACAAGCCCAGCCACGGCGGGGTGAACAGAAGGCGTCACTGCACAGCCAACTGAGGCTGCGTGGGAGGCGCCATTTGGATCCTGGCCCTACCTCAACGCCAGGCACTGTGGCACATGCCTGTAGTCCTGGCTGACTGGGAGGCTGGGGCAGGACAGATCACAACATGGTGAGGTCTTGTCAAAAATACCTATAGGGAACCAGCAGTTAGCGTAATGGCTATGTTGCTGGATTCCCACGTAGGCGACCGCAGTTCGCGTCCTGGCCCCGGTGGCTTAAATCTCACGCTGGGCATGTGTGCGTGCGTGCCCAAGATCCCGAGAGGAGAATGGAGGAGAAGGGATTGCGGCGTGACCATCCCCCCTGGGGGTGATTTCTCGCTTTCTGTCTCTCTGTCTCGCTCTATCTTTCTGGCAAGCGCACACACCCTATAGCAAAAACCTCTCAAAAAAAAAAAAAAATACCTACCCACCTTGGGCCCAGCAGTTAGCATAATGGCTATGTCGCTAGACTCCCATGTAGTTGACCGTGGTTCGAGTCCCGCACCCGGTGGCTTAAGACTCCCACCGGGAGCATGTGCGTGCCCAGGATCCCAAGAGGAGAATGGAGGAGAAGGGATTGCGGCATGGCCATCCACCCTGGTGGGGGGTGATTTCTAGCTTTCTGTCTCTCTGTCTCGCTCTATCTTTCTGGCAAGCGCACACACCCTATAGCAAAAACCTCTCAAAAAAAAAAAAATTAGAACAATTAACAGAACATCTAAATCACAGCTGAGTTCAAGTTTTATCCCTAGCAAATACGTAAAGTCCCTTAATTTTTTATATTATCTTGTATCTTATGAAATAAACTGAATCTTCAATTACTTACCATTATTTTCTTTTGTTATTTATTTCAAACTATAAAGTTAACGTACAAGATTGTGAATTGATATAGGTATCCTCTATTATTATATGCCCAAATTACCATCCACAATGGAAGCAACCCTATTCCAGTCAGGCGGGACAATTTCCTTCCATCTGACAAACAAAAATTTCTAACTTCATCTTGACAATCATATTGTAAATTACGGAACTGAGAAAAATGCGATAGAGGCACAGTTTTAAAAACACATTTTAAAACAGTCTTAAAAATGTCTCTTGGTTTGGGCTGAGTCAGTGAAATGCGCTTCATCTTTATGGCTGTTTGGTTCATTCCCTTCCTCCGCACAAACACAGCAAGCAACTCACTCTGTCCAGTCCCAAACCCAGGCCCGTCACTGTATGAAACGTAACTCGGTATCGTCAGCTGCAGAGGCAAATGAGCACCCTAAGAACAACTGCACTAAATTTTAACGCTATTCATTAACAGTTCCATTTTCCTGAGTTTGCGTTTGTTCTTTGGCATTGGCTTAGGATACAATCCATTTTTCAGAAGGTGTTCCTTGCTGAGGCGAATTTGGGCCCCATGCTGAAGCTGGAAAGAGCATAAAGCTTGAAGTGGGCGAAGTAAAGTCTGTTAAGAAAAAAAAAAAAAGATACTAAAAGAATATCTATTACCAATCATGATATTCTACCTACATTTTTCTTTCAGAAATAATTTTATTATTATTGGGTTTTGGCCATAAAAAGCAATATACATTCTAATAAATATATAATTATTCATTAATAAATACTACCTTCAAATCCATATCTTACATACCACTAAGGAAATAAAAGGACATAAAAACTAATTTTTCCATATAGGTAATACTTAGTCTGAATTTAATTTTATACACTAATTTATTCAAACACAATGAAAAAAACTGTTGCCATTACAATAATTTAATCTGTTCTAAGCAAAATGAAGAAGACCTTCAGATACAAAATTAAGCACATCAAAGTAGTTAGTTCAGTTTAGTCACAAATTGATAAGGGCTTCCGATAACAACTGAGTAGGGATTTATTTCTTCTCTCATATTAGTCTATGGTTTGCCTAGAAGACGTCAAAAGGTTCAAAGTATGAGTTTATGTTGGTGTGAACATTTTTTAAATCCATGCATAATTTTTTTCATAATATTGGGTTGTTGGAAAAATCATGATGTGTTTTTTCTATGCCCCAAAAAAAGAGTCAGGACTTTTCTGACAACTCAATATAATTTTTCCATGAACTTTTTTAAGTGATTCAAAGTTAAAATAATGTTATGCCAATGTATTAAACACTTTTGGGGTCAGAGTCTTTCCTTGGGCCTGGGGTCCCTGATCTAAACATTTTAAATAATAGCAAATAATTTGATTGAACAGATTGAAAGAAACAGATGTTTAACTGCAAAAATTTCACAATGTCGGGGAACAGTGGGTGGCATGGTGGTTAAGGCACCAGACACTCCCACATGGCTGACCATGGTTCGAGTCCTGGACCTGGTGGCTTACTTTCTCACTTCCCCTCTTTCTTTCTCTCTGTCTCTCTGTCTCTCTCTGTGTCTGTCAAATTAAAAAATATGAATAAATAAATTTTAATAAATAATGATTTTTTTAAATTTCACAATGTCTATGTGAAATATGACATGACCAAAGGCACAGTCTATCCAATGAGATGCAAGTGGAAGTCTGAGGTGGGGCGCCCAGAGATACTCTTTAAAGGGAGCAGACTTAGCAGGCGTAGGTGTTTGCCTTTTCTTCTTGCCTAGAACAAGGCTGGTGGAGGTGGGTCGACCGTCTCATGACCAGTAGGCAGTGCCAAGATGACTGAAGCTTAATACCTACGATGGCGAACAGAAACACAGAAGACACCTGGGACCTTGATGTCCTTTTCAAGCTGCCTTCCTTGCCTAGGACTGCCTACCCCAGCCTTTCTTACTCACAGGAGAAAAAGAAGTCCCCGTGTGACCTACCCACTTCAGTAAGGGCTCTGTTACACACAGCCCGCTTACCTACACCAACAGGAAGAACATCCTGGGGAAGCTCCACACCCTACTGTGGAAGGCCCCTTAGGTATGGCCTCACCATTTATTTAGTGAAGAAAAGGAGAGAGAAAAGTGGAAATGACTATACATGTCTTTACAGAGCCAACATGATGGACTGACTGGATTCTGAAACACCACACCTCAGAAACAGACCTAGGCCTACAAACAGACTGAGACAACTGAAAATTCTACTGATGCTTAAGACTCATCAGTCTTCATAGACAGGAGAACACTAATACCCCTGTGGTTAAGGCCTTCCAACTTGTATATCCAGAAGATAAGATGCAATCAATTTACTGCGTAATTAAAAGAAAACGTTTTGGAGATAAATCTGGATTAGACACCACTCTCTGATCTCCATGGGGGTCACTGGGGCTACTCAGAGATAGGCCAGTCTTCCTACTCGTATTGGATTGGACTGCATTTCCCATCCCTCTCTGAAGTTAGGCATGGCCAGGTAATTCACTTTGGTTAATGAAATGTGAACACTAGTATGTGTCCCCTCTCAGCAGAAGCATTAAACGTAGTGTAGGATTCACCACCTTCCTTGCCCCTTCCCTGACAAAACTGGAATGCCGTCTGTGGGTAGTTCCTCCATCAGCCTGAGCCTGAGAGGTGCAGTAAGCAGAGATCCCTTGAGCAATCCCACCAGACAAACCACGTGAAAGACGCAAAAACCTTTGTCATGCGATGCCTTTTTGATTTGAGGGTTTTGTTTTTTTTTTTTTTTAAGAATTACTCTATTTAATTTTATTTATTTCAATTTGACCAGAGAGGGACAGAGAGACAGAGAGAGAGGAAGAGAGAGAGAGAGAGAAAGGGGGGAAGTGGGAAAGCAAGCCACCAAGTCCAGGACTCAAACCATAGTCGGCCATGTGGGAGTCCAGCCCCCTTAACCACCATGCCACCTGGTGGCCCCAACTTGAGTTTTAAATTACCACTGCTAACCCAGCCACCTTGACTAATGCCCCCATTTATTGGGTATGTGTTCCCAGATAAGTTATCTAACCTCTCTCTGCCTCTCTTTCTTCATCTTTAATATGAGGAAAATAATGCCACCTAACAAGGCTATTACTACAGTAAGTGCTAAAATGATGCATTGAAAGTACTAAGCACCTGACTTGACGCTCAGTAAACAATAATGTTTCTATAAATTGTCACGAACATGTATCTGAGGCAATGAGGCGCTATATGAAAGACAGACTGTTCAAGGAAACAGAAAATCCTCTGTTAATAAAACAGGTTCGTTTCTAAATGTTTACATGGGTGAAAATCAGAATTTCCTGAATCCTTTTGTCTACAGGTACAAAGTAACAGTTTTCAAGGAACCATTACTACCAAACCACTGGGGGCAGGTGGAGTTAAGGCATTGGGCTGTGGCACAAAGCTTTACACATAGACCTAAAAAAGTGCACAAACAGAGAAGGTTCCCTAATAAAGATCCCCAAGCTCCAGGCTTCCCAGGCATAAAAGTTCCAGTAGATGCTATTCAGGTTGAGTAGCCTTATGTGAAACGCTTAGAGCCAGAAGTTCAGATATTGAATTTTTTTGAATTTTGGAATATTTGCATATACATAATGAAACATCTTAGGGATGGGATGAAACTCTTAACATGAAGTTCATTTTATGTTTCATATACAAGCCATGCACAAAGCTTGAAGGTAATTTTATATAATAATACTCCTGTAGTATTTTGATGGCAATGCATCTAGTGAGGTCAAATAAGGAATTTTCCATTTGTGATGTCATGTTAGCAATCAGTAAGTTTCAGATTTGAGGATTTTTTTTTTTTTGAGAGGTTTTTGCTATAGGGCGTGTGCGCTTGCCAGAAAGACAGAGAGAAACAGAGAGATAGAAAGCGAGAAATCACCCCCCGGGGGGACGGCCACGCCACAATCCTTTCTCCTCTTCTCCTCTCGGGATCTTGCGCACGCACGCACATGTGCCCAATGTGAGTTTAAGCCACCGGGTCTAGGACTCAAACCGCAGTTGACTACATGGGAGTCCAGCAACATAGCCATTACGCCAACTGCTGGTCCCAAGATTTGGGGGTATTTCAGATTTTCAGATAAGGATTGAAGTAGCTCAATGAAAGTTACCAACTTTTAGTTGCAAATTCTATTCGTCTATCTATAGGCAAGAATCGGAGGAGCAAGGAAGAGCAGAAGGATGAACTCTTTGGCACACAGGCTGACCATGGAGGCAGTCAGGACACCGTCTGACTTAATTTTCACAAACTATTTTTTGTATATTACAGATGCAAAAAACAAGCACAAAGATACATGATTGCTCAGTGGTAAAAAGTAATGATAACAAGACATGAAACTAAAATTCAAATCTACTTCAAAGCCTTTATCACATCACGTGTAGCTGTGCTTTTATATCCTGCCATTTCCATTAAAAAACGGCTCTAGGGAGGCCAGCAGGTATTGCGGTGGTTAAGACTCTGGACTCCCACATGGCTGACCACGGTTCAAGTCCCAGACCTGACAGCTTGCTTTCTCACATTCTCTCTCTCTCTTGTTGTCTCTGGTGAGCATAACATGCTCTGTAGCAACTTAAAAAATAGTAATAATGATAAATAAAAATTTTTAAATGATTAAAAATAAACTGCTCTAGGGTGAAAAATAAGGATGAACTGGTACATTAACAATGCTATTCCTTCTCTTGAGGAGCCCTACCTCTAAAGAATGAAGCCAGGTGAAAATTTACTATCCTCCTCCTCCATCATCTTTAGGTTTTACTAGAATACCCTGAATAAGAGGTTTTTAAGGAAAAAAATAGGTATGTTAGAACTTTCCTTCTCTTAAGGGGACAAAAACACCTATGTTCAGAGCAGATGATAACTGTTTCACAGACTAACACGCTAATTCTTTATTCTAACGAGATTCGAACAGCCTGGACAAGAGGTTCCCTCACCAGGAAAGGAACTTTTTTTTTGGGGGGGGGGGGGAGACGTCTTTTCGCTATAGGGCGCGTGCGCTCACCAGACAGACAGATAGAGACAGAGAGACAGAAAGCGAGAAATCACCCCCCGGGGGGATGGTCATGCCACAATCCCTTCTCCTCCATTTTCCTCTCGGGATCTTGGGCACGCACGCACATGTGCCCAGCGTGAGTTTTAAGCCACCGGGTCCGGGACACAAACCGCGGTCGACTACATGGGAGTCCAGCGACATAGCCATTACGCTAACAGCTGGTTCCCACCAGGAAAGCAACTTTTTACTAGAAATTAGGGAAGCCGATTTTTGCCACTTGTAATAAGAAGCAACTAGGAATGTTCTGTTATGCATTCCTTCTGCTCCTGTTCCCACCGACCACCTTATCAATACCCCTCCCAAATCACAGGGCTGCCTATCCAACAGCCTCCTACTGCTGGTCTCTGAAGCACAATCGCTCCTGGCAACCAAAGCAAGTGGAACGAGGGTCCCAGGACCTGCCTGTTTCTTCAGGATTTTATGGTCAATCTGATCCACAGACAACAAAATGCTCTTCTAATTAATTAAAAAATAGGGAGGAAAATGTATTTAAGAGAATATAAAAAACTAAAAAGAGAAATAGAAAATATTGAAAGAAAATTCTAGACTAAGAACTATTCAATGTTGTGCTACTTGCATGCATTTTAGCACATTACAAATGCTGTTTGCACAGCTTAGTATGAATATTTAAACCATGCAATCTGGAATGCTAAACTAACACAGAAAACACCAGAGGGAGAAAGAAGGTTATAAAAGTACATAAATTCCTATCACAGATACATGTCACTTGTCACTTGAGTTACAAATGTAGTAAGTTGAACATGTCTAAATGTTCCAGATCAAATCCCACCACACGCCTACTTCCAAAGACATACCTCTTGTATACAATCATCTCTCTCCAGGATGGAAAGAGCGAGGGCCGCACACTCCAGTGTGGAAAGGCACCTACTGGTCGGCTGCGTCCGAATTACATACTGACTGGGAACGCTAGCTCCTAACTGCACCTGAAACCAAAAGCAAAACAGAGCATTTGTTTTAAATTCAAAATTACAAAGTCTGACCACCTTCCTTCCAAAACTGCCAGCAATTCAGAAATATTAAATTTGTCAAGATCTTTTTTATGTAACATCCTATCATTATCATAAAACAGAAGAAAAAGGATAGTTACACATATATCTGATAAACATATATCCAGAACATAGTACAAACTCCCACATATTAAAAATAAGAAGACTACTAATCCCTCCCAGAGGGGGAAAAAATGAACACACACTTCACAAGAGAAGATACAGAAAGAGTAAACAGGAGTTGGGTGTAGAGTCACAGGCCCAGAGTAGCAGGAATTTGGGAGGCTGAGACAGGATCTTGAGTTCAAGACCATCCTGGACAACATAGCAAGACTCTTTCTCAGAAAAAATAATAATAATAACAATAATAATAATAGCAAATGAGTATTTTTAAAAGTGCTAAGAATGATGCAATGCAAAGCAAAATCATGTAACTTAGCACTAAGGGAGCTAGATTGCACATGGTCTACCACCCTGAAAACAGGCTGGCCAAGTATGTGTATGTGCCCAAAATCCCAGTGGGAGAAGATTATGGTGTGACCACACCCTACTGGGGGATGCTTTCTTCCTCTCTCTCTCTCTCTCTCTCTCTCTCTCTGGCAAGTACACACACACCCTCTGACAATAAACCCACAATGGAACATTTCATAATCACTAGAATGGCAAAATAGAAAATGTCAGGCTGGCAGCTGGCGTGGAGGCTAAGGGTGCTAGACTCCCACCTGGCCAACCACGGTTTGAGTCCTGGACCTGGCGGCTTGCTTTCTCTCTCTCTCTCTCTCTCTCTCTCTCTCATTCTGTCCCTTTCTGGTCAAATTAAAATAAATAAAAATGAACAAAGAAAGTTAAATAAAATAATTATCTAAAAAAAAAGAAAAATGTCTGAAGTTATCAAGTGATGACAATATGGAGCAAACAAAATCCTTACATTTCATAATGGAGTTAAAATGGTATAATTTTGCTATAGGGCATGTGAGTTCATCAGAGAGACAGAGACAGAAAGTGGGAAACTGCCCCACTGGGCGGATGGCCATGCCATAATCCCTTCTCCTTGATCCTTTTCTCACGATTTTAGGCACACACGCACACATATCCAGTGTGATTTTCAAGCTACCAGGTCCAGGACTCGAATCATAGTCGTCCATGTGGGAGTCCAGCAACGTAACCATTACATCATCTCCTGGTCCCACTGACAATTTTTTTTAATTTATGGTTCATTTTTCCATTATGTCTTTTTTTTTTTAAGTTTATTTCTTTCTTCCATAAGAGAGAGGCATCCCCAACAGGGCACCTATACCACACCCACCCCCAGTTTCATCTGGCTCCGCTCACAGACAGGCACACACTCATCTGATATGCTCATGGAACCCCAGGGTGTGAACACAGGACCTTCGTCATGGAGGTCCAGCCACACAATCGCTGAACCAGCATTTGGCTCTCATTCGTTCTTATTTAAACTGGCAGGCCTATGTCCACATGTGTACAAGCACACACACTCAGATGTGCGCATACCTTCCCACACACGTACATATATCCTCTTTTTAGAGAAAAAGTAACGTAAAAGTACTATATATTAAATAATGGGTTTAAATCTATTTCTAAGATTCCTTCAAGTTCTAGCATTCTTGGATCTTCTCTGTGAACCATTGCTCAGGTGGACACAGTCAGAGTCCTGATAAATCTCATACATGCTTTCTATGTTCTTTCCATTCTCCACTGTACAGCAAGTAAAAAAAAAAATGCACACGCAATGCCGAATACACATGCAAGCAGAATTTTACCATTACTTAAAGAACATCAATCAGCCAAATTGTGAGCAGGTACTAGTCTATCTTTCACCGTGCGTGACAAGGATATAAATAGATACTGACTGATTAGTAAGTTTTAAAAATAAAATGATAGAAAAGAGAACTGGAATGGTATGAAAGAGAAATATAACATGCACCATATCTTGTGGTGGTGTGGAATTTTATTCTAGAAAACACTATTGTCCATTCAAGTGGAGTCAACACATTGAGATGTTAGATAAAACTTACACTGGTTCTGTCAATTATCTTCCTAGACAATTTAAGAAAAAGTGAAATCCGAAAACTGAACAGGATTTCTTCAATGTATTTATTCCAACACTACTCGGAAAACAAAAGTCCCATGTAATAGCTATTAAGAACATACGACATATTCCCCCCTCAGAAAGATGACATAATTCTGTCATGAAAAATATGTACATAAACAACTACTGCTGTTTGACAAATGAATTGCTTCTTAGTGACTCACGTAAGGCTGATGAATTTCACCCCCCCCAAAATGGATGAAACACGGATAACTGCAAGGCAGAGTGAGAAGAACATGGAAAAAAAGAACATGCGTGAAATATTATCATTAAATGATAGGGATTTCTTTTCTATTCTGTAAGGAAAAAAATCTGATTTCAAATTAAAACTGAATTTTCCTAAAGTTCATCATTCATTTTCTCAAATGATTGAAATAAAAATTCTATTAGGTGGTTAATTAAGCCACCTAACGGCACGTTAATGCTACACTTCTCTGTAGTGAACATTAGTTATAACAGACATATCACTATGATGGTATACATTTAACAAGTTGTGGTTTATTGTTACGTATTTTTACCAGATGCTTGACAAATGCGTCCCCGGTAGTTGCTCCCACTATTATCTTATTAAGATTCCCATCATACTTCCTTAATCCATATAAAATCTGTTTGCATATATTTAATTAATTGGCAATATCTAGAACCTAATTCCATCTATATTAATTAGTTCTTTCTATTTGACAAGGTCAACATTCTAACTCAGAAACAGAAGCACATGCAATCTTTGTAGCAAGCAGCATGGCTTTCATTTTTAACGAACTCTCGCCCCAGTGACAGTATTCAATTCCAAGTCACCATCTCTAGCCTGATCTCTGTGCACACCTACCTACACATTTGCTTATACTGCAATCTTTAAGAAATCATTCTCTATGCATCAGCCAAGTGCTTTAAAAAAAAAAAAAAAGTCCTTTAATAGCTTACCACTAAGCAAAATCCTTACTGTGGCCCATAAACTGTCCTTTCATCAATTTCACTCTTCCCTAATCCACACCTGGCTCCCTGCTCACGTTTACTGCCTACCTGTCGGACTAAGGATGGTCATTCTTCGCCCAGCTAGCTACTACTAACCCTTCAGTTCACAAATGCTACAGAAGTCTTCCTGAATCCCCAACCTCAATAAAATCCCCATGTAAAGCACCTCTTATTTAAAGCATTCATGGACTTTGCCTTAATTTGTGATTACCTATTAATCTAAGTGGCTATTATTCCAGGCTAGATTAAGCTCCATTGGACATGAACTGTCTGTTTTACTTAGTATTATATTCCAGTGTCCCAACCAGTGCCCAGAAATAAGCACTGGTTGAATTAATGAATGCTGGTCACAACCATTAGCAGATAAATATAGCTATGAAATATCAATGCCAAATCCCCCTATTTATACATAAATTTAGGAATTTTTGTGACTTTACTGGGGAAGGGCATATTAGGATGAGGAGTGAAGAAAGGGGTAAAAGGGGTTAAGGATGGTGTCAGCAAGTGGCATTGTGGGTGAAGCGCTGAATTCCCACACAGGTGGGTGCAGTTTGAGCCTCAGATCCTGCAGCTTAAAAATCACAACAAAAAGGGCCCAAGTGATTCAAGCAGCTCAAGCAGCGGCTCTGCTGTGGCACAAGTTGCTTGGGCTACCTAGGCTCACAACAGAAAGATAAATAAATGTCAAAAAAAATTTAATTTTGGGAACCAGCAGTTAGCGTAATGGCTATGTCGCTAAACTCCCACGTAGTCGACCGCGGTTCACGTCCCGGACCCAGTGGCTTAAAACTCCTGCCGGGCGCATGTGCGTGTGTGCCCAAGATCCCGAGAGGAGAATGGAGGAGAAGGGATTGCGGCGTGACCATCCCCCCGGGCGAGGTGATTTCTCGCATTCTGTCTCTCTGTCTCTCTCTGGCTGGTGAGCGCACGTGCCCTATAGCAAAAACCTCTCCAAAAAAAAAAAAATTTAATTTTAAAAAGAGGTTGAGAATTTATGACTGAATTTAAACTTATAAAAATGAAAAACTGCTTTAATCGATTATTTTATATAGCAATTTTAAAATTGGGAAACATTATTCATCGTAATATATATCTTTTGAGGGAATTTGGTACGTTTCTAAAGCAAGGGTAGCCCACTGATAGCACATAAATTCTGTGAGAGTTAAAAATTTGGCCATTTGTTCACAGTTACAGAAAGGAATATATCTCTACTTCAACTAAGGAGTCTATAAAAAGTACTTAGACCCATGACCCAAATATGAACTATATTTAAATATAAAATATTAAATATTAACCTATGTAATTCTAAAGTATTTTAGCCTGCAAACACTTGAAAATCTTACACCCAAATATTTTCATCAATTTCTTTTGGCATACAGGAAAAATTCAACCAGAGCAAAGCTCAGATGTTATTGAAATCTACATCAAGAACATAAATAAGTTATCTTTTCCCAACATTGTGCTTTAATTCAAAGTGACATTTTCAGAGCACTCATTTAGAGAAAAAATTCTAAAGGGGATTAATGTCACGCAATTCTTTAAACTGTATATGCGTATAAAAGAAGTAGATGTCACAAAAACCTTTTCTACAATCATTATATTTGTTCAGTCTCTCTCACACACACAAATACTCTTCCATAAAATGAGCTATAACAATTTTTTAAAATGTCAACCCAAGAAATAGGTATAAACTTGTTACCATGGGACAGGAGTACTTCATGGTTTACTATATCATTCACATCACATTCTCTCTATATATTTCTTTAACTTTTTAAAAGATTTTTAAATTGAGACTGGCAGGTGGTTTAAGGTGGGACTCTCACATGGTTGACTGCGGTTCGAGTCCTGGACCTGG